CTGTGCAAGAAAAGGCTGATGATGATGATGATGATGATGATGATGATGCTTTCCTTTCGGAATCCTTGCAAGGCAGTCCCTTCCTGGGGCAAAGCTCGCACAGCAAGTCCTCCTCGGAGGGGAAAAAATCGGATTTATCAGCTGTCCGAGTCCAAGTCGCTTTTGAGTTCTTCCTGCCTCTTCTCCGGGGAGCTTTTGGAGGATTTGTTCCATTTCTGGACGTTCTCGGACTCCTCCGAGGAAGACCTCTTCTGGCGCCTCCACTTCGCCCGACGGTTCTTGAACCACACCTGTCCCAAAAAAAAAAGGGGGGGGGAAGAGAGAAAAATAGGGGGGCAACGAAGGAAAGGGCTCGTTATTTGCCCGCACAGTATTGTGTGTGTGTTATGTACCTTCAAGTCATTTCTATCATGGGGTTTTCTTGGCAAGATTTGCTCGGAGGAGGTTTGCTATTGCCTTCCCTGAGGCTGAGAGAGTGTGACTTGCCCAAGGTCACCCAGTGGGGTTCCATGGCCAAGCTTGAATTCGAACCCTGATTTCCAGAGTCGTAGTCCAACGCTCAAACCACGACGCCACCTGGCTGGCTGGCTCTCTAAAGATTATTCCCTAGCCTTGTCTAAAGACTCGAACCTGGGACCCCTTCCATCCGAAGCAAGTTCTCTGCCTCCGAGCCAGGGTGCCAGTAGTTTAAGCAGTGAGGTAAACCCACCGGGTGACCCTGGGCGAGTCACACTCTCTCAGCCTCAGAGGTTGGCCACGGCAAAGCCCCCCCTAATGAAACTTGTCGTTGTGTGCCTCCAAGTCGTTTCCGACTTATGGCGACCCTAAGAAGGACCTGTGATCATGGGGGGTTTTTTTGGTAAGATTTGTTCAGAGGAGGTTTGCCATTGCCTTCCCCTGAGGCTGAGAGTATGTGACCCAGTGGGTTTCATGGCCATGCTGGGATTCGATAATTTCCGTTACCACTGTGTCCAGAGATTAAGCAAGAGACCTGGGTGCGTTGGCGGTGGGGAAAAAACCCTTCACTAAAAAGAATCTGGCCCAAAGTAAATTTCCTAGGGTTTTCTTAAGCAAGGAATCCTCGTGCCTTCCTCAGAAATATAGCCTTCGGCTCCAGTATTCCTTGGCGGTCTCCCTTCCAAATACTAACCAGGGCTGACCCTGCTTAGTTTCCAGGACCAAAGGAGATCTGGTGCCTTTCGGGTATTTAAGCCCTTCAGTGGGTTAATTCCCAGGTAAAATAGTCTAGGACTGAAGACTAATTAATTGATCTGGAAATTCTCTTTCTCTTTCTCTCTCTCTCTTTCACACACACACACCTCAGTTCAAAATGAAAATCAGGCTGTCATCCACATAGGAGCTAAAGCCTTACAGTTCAAGTCCCTGAAATCTGAGTGAGGCTAAGGGCCTTTGCAGACTGCCAGAAATAGTGCACATATAATTGAGGCACT